ACTTATTCTCCTGGCCGGCCCATGGGCCAGCCAGCTCAGGAGCTGCACAGGACAAAGGGCATGCTCAGGGAAGGGGCTCTAAAGCATGGCGTCCTCCCGGTGCCCCCTCTGCGCCTCAGGAGTCCGAGCAGATTCGCTTTCTGCCCCCCCCCGAGAGCCGGCACTGCTGAGCCCCACCCGCTGGCACGTACAAAGCGCCTGCCCCCAGCGGGCCCCTGCTAAGGTCACAACAGCCCTGGGCGCTAGGAGGCGTTAAATCCATTTCCCAGCTGGGGAGGCTGCAGCAGAGGGGTTACGTAACTTGCACACGATCAGGAATGAGATCCCAGTCTCCTGAGTCCCCATCCTGTGAGCCAGCCCCACTAGCCTCTCCCCTTCCGTCTTCTCTTTGCTATTCTGCCTTGGGCATTCGCATCAAAACTACCCGCTGAGGTCTGGCTGCAGAGTTCTCAGCACTGGTGCCGGCTGCTGCGGGTGGATGCAGCAGAAAGCTCATTTCAGGTACTAGAAAAAGGGCTGAGCTTAAGTGCCAGCAGTTAGATACCCCCCCCCCCCCGGTTTGGTTTGTAAACTGAACAAACTTAATATGCAAGTCACTGGTGAGGAATAAATAGGCACCATGAAAATGTCATTTCCACAGAGTCACTTTTCTGACCATTATCCCGCTGCAAACAAAAGCAATTTACTCTGCCTGTAATAAAGCAGGGGTGATAACGAACCTGAGGCGAGCTGCACAGCTTGCTCCCGGGAAAGGCCGGCCTCCCTGCCTCGGCAGCCACTTCAAAAGAAACACAGGATGCTGGGCAGAGACCGCGGCCACTAAGAATTCCCAATAGATCCATAAAGCCCAGAGAAACCCCATTGCGTCACATACACCAACGACCTGGCTGGAGAAGCTGTCTATGAAAAATCAATCCCCTGTCAGGAGACAGTTCTGCAGCACATAGATCCACAGAGGCATTGGAGAGTATGTGTCAAAACAGCCCTGCTGCCATCAACCAAGGACGCTGCTCCATTAGCCCAGGCACTCTGCGACTGGGGCCCAAACTGGCTGGAGCCAACCACCAATTCTGCACACACACTTTTGCACATGCAGTGAATTTGGGTGCCCAGCACTGGCATCTGTGTGTGACGCTTTGGAAGCTGGGCACCTGTATGCAACTGCCTGGTTGCCTATGGAATCACCTGTGTGTGCAAACGTGTGTATGACTGTGTACATAGGTGATAAAATCAAGGCGGGGTGGACATTAACAGCCCTGTTCAGGTTTGGCAGGCGCTGTTTGCTGTCGGCTTTTTAAAGACCATTTCCCCATTGACTCCAACGCAGTTCTATGGTGTTCTCGTTTTCTGCCCCCATGGCTCTAGAGTAATTTTAAACCACAGCACCTTTTGCAGTCCTGTGGGAGCTCAGGCGCTGGGCTGTCCCCCATCTCTGCCACTAGCTGCGTCTACCCACAGTGTAGAGTAGGGATTATTCAAATCCCTTTTTGGTTTCTATTGAAAGTGTCAGAGCAGCATAGGGCCTGTGATCCAGAGAACCCCTCTGAGCCTGATACTGCTCATGCTGCTTCTCTTCCCCTGTGGGGGCCCGAGGAATTATCGTTAACGGCAATATAAAGTTAAACCTTTCGTAAGTGGCCACCTGAGGACCAGCAAGAACCACTTGCCTGGTACAGCTGGTCTTTAACTAAAGGTCAAAGAAAATTGTACTGGAAGCCTTGGGGAGACCTTAAAGTGGCCACGTAAGCTCGGGGCCTTGCCTAGTGGAGGTGGGACAGAGCCGGATCTAATGCCCTGAATTATTTATAACCTTTTAAAGTTGAACTGCTTGCCAGTCTAGGGCTTTAATGCAGTGAAAGGTGCAGGGGGCTTTGACAGGGCAATCAGTGGGGACAGACAGCCTGCATGCCTCTCCGGACAAGCGCTGTAGCTGGGGCGAGGGGCCAGGGAATGACGCGCAGTGGCTCGGTTCCATATAGCGTGAAGGAGACAGCCCTTGTATTCTGCTAGCGAGAGGCTGTCAGGGCCCTAGAGCCAGGGGTCCTGCCCTCTGGTATTGGTGCTTACGCTGATATAGCAAGAGTTCGAACCCCCCCCCCCCCCCCCGCCCACTACTTTACTAATGAGCCTCTGCCCTGGCCCCAACTCACCTGCTCCACCCCACCACGGTGCCTGGGGTTTGCAGCAGCCGCTCCTCGGGGGTGGGGGGGTTAGTTGTAGTCAGTATTGCCAACATAGGGCAATAGTCTAATTTCATTGTTGTGGTTGCAGCTGTGTTTAAAGCCTCTTGACCTCTCGTGGCCCTGCGCTGGCTGGGCCGTTGCTGCTGGGTGTAGAGGCGACTACAGCCCATTTGCTGTCAGCCGTGTCTGCCGAATTCTTCACAAGGCGAGTGGCTGGGGAGCAGTTCAGGGACAGGAGCAGAGCAAAGAGGTGGGTTGTGGAGCTGGCAAAACCAAATTCCCGCTCTTCCCCAACCAAGCCAGGCCTGTGCCCAACAAAGAGCCGGCTGCGGCGTGTCTCCGTTACTGACGTTACAGCCGGGTTTGGCGGCATTCGATGGGTCTGTGGGCTGCTTTGGACACAGTTATTTGTGGCAGAGCACTGGCCTTTAGCCACCCTGCCCATGAGCAGCACAGGTGGGACGTGGCTCTGGCTTTGCTCCACGCATGTGAGATATGTCACTGCTGAATTTGGCTCCTGGGGGAGAAATCCTTGTCGAGGAGTGCTGCTCTCCCGACGGCTAGGGATGCAGAGGATAGGCGCCGCGCCAAACCAGCAGCAGCTTTTCTGTGTCAAACGCGAGTCACATAGTCTCTGTGCCTTCGCGCAGCTCAGTGGGTTTCCAGTGGGAAATGGTCGTTTCACCGACAAACCAGAAGGCTGTTTCATTAGGTCACCAGGAAGCCCATGCTAAAATTACAGCCTCAGGCTTCCGGTCCTGCCTGGGGCAGCGGGTTTGGGTTTTAGCTGTTCCTCTGCCACCAGCATTAGCACCTAGGGAAGGCAGATGGTAATTACGAGAACTTTTCCAGTTCCTTTTGTCTCACGTCAGCCCCAGTGCGCCAATGCCGCACCTTCCTCCCACCGCCCGGGAAGGGCAGATTTACTGCTGGGGCAGGCGTCCCCTGCAGCAGCCGGGTCTGCCCAGACCACTGACCCTGGTGCCTGGCTCCTGCTGTTCCTGACAATTAGTGAGTGGCTAAGGCCCGGAGGCGCTTTACCTCAGAAGAATTCTTTGCTTGCAGCACCATCTACAGGAGCCCTGGCTAGACTCTGCACTGGCTCTGCCCAGAGCCTGGCGTTCGGCACAGCGCTGGCCATGGGTACACATAGGGCCAAGGGGCCCCATTCTCACTCACACCAGCAGGGCCGGCCCACAACATTTTGGCACCTCAGGCGGGGAGCTCAAATGACGCCCCCATGCCCCCTTGTAGACAAAATTTTCTACACTCTGGGTCCTAGTGGTGCCCCCCCACAGTCTGGCACCCGAGGCGGCCGCCTCAGTTCGCCTCCTGGTAAGGCCAGCCCTGCACACCCGTGCCTGACTCTCCCCCTGCGAGGGGACACTTGGGCCTGGTGTGTTTAGCGCATGCCCTGGCTTTCCAACATTCAAAGGCGAGGCTCTGCAGTTGGGCAAAGCACTGCAGGTTCTCCGGGACAGCCAGTGGCAGTAAGTGCTCACCCGCCAGCCATCTCCCTCCGCCCTGGCTTTGAGCTGACACATGATTCAAGGCACCATCTGCCTGCGGCCACGGGGGAGAGGGCACCACAGTATGTGTGAGCTTGGCTCCTCTCCCATTCCTGCAAGCTGAAACTCACTCCACTTCCGGCCTCTGGGCCTTGTCCCCTTCCTTCCACCCCACAGACAGAGCAGAGAGCCAGCTGATCGGGATGGTGCTGGGAGCTCGGCTCTGTAGGAAGAAGATCCCACCTGGTTGTGAGGGTCATGTTTCTTCTGTGCAAAACCAGCACAGCTGGGTGCGAACAAGTCTCGTGGGCCATTCCACACACACACACACTCTCTCTCTCTGCTGGAATGAAGTCCCTAGCAGTGTGCAAGGGAATTATTTGAATTATCACAGCGCCTAGGAGACCGTCATGGGCCAGGACCCCACTGTGCTAGGAGCTGTACAAACACAGAACAAAAAGTCAGGCTGCAGCTGCCCAGCATCCCCCACGCTGTGCCTGGCCAGGCCTCATTCCCTCCTCTCCCAATTGCTGGTTTGTTGTTTCTGGTTTCCAAGTGAGCAGCTTGGGCGCTGGGTCCTGGTGAGAGCTGTGTACCCACTCTGTCCACAGGGAGCGCTCAGACACCCCCCTCTTCACCCTACGCTCTGCCCCGGACAGCCTGGCACGTGACAGCTGAGTGGCACTGGGAAGATTAAAAGACATGCTGCGGATGCTTTGTGGCGGGCGCAGGGAATGGGGGTGGGTAGGCAGGAGATAGGTTGCTAATCAAGAGAACTGTATGTACAGTCAGTCAGTCACTTCTGCGCTTAAACTTGTCTTTTCTGTTTTAGACGTGCGCACCAATCTGGCCTATGGACTTGTCGGAGGAAACGAGTCCTTGCCCCTTGTGGTGCCGTTTATGTCGTGTAGCCACCACCAGTGCTGCTGCTACCTCTAGAGCGAGTGAGTGTTGAATTCACGTGTGTTTCCAGCCCCTTTGCACAGGCGGTAAGTTACTGCACAAGCTGCAAAGCAGTGGAGAATCAGTCCTCACGGCCCCAGTCTAACACATGCAAAGGGGTAGGGCCAACAGCGCCCAACACCTCAATATGGGATTTAGAGTAAGCTCTGAGATGTCACTACCTGAATGTAACCTACAACACGGTCAAGTTGCATAGCTTCAGAATGTGACCTATTTAGAACAGAAACAGCGGGTAGGAATTCTAAGTGGCTGGATATACAAAAAGGCAGTAGACTGTCCTTGAGACATTGAACAAAACCAAGGGCTGGGACGTGGATAAAAAAAGAAAAGAAATAAAAGGCACAAATATTTTATAGCATTTTATTTCCTAACGAATTAATGGTGCAGAAAAATCAGTTAATGCTGGGTGTAGTTTGATGGTTGAAGCCAGACCCCAAGCAACATCATCAGCAAAACAATGAGGTTCAAACTAGGCTGTGAGTGGTATTCAGCCATATCACTGGGTTAATTGCCACTCATTAGTCTAGCTGCCAAATTTAGGTTTAAGAAAAAATAGTGTACAAAACCCAACATGAATCCAAAAGGTTTTGTTCAGGTTTTTATTAACGCAACAGGTCTTTCCTCTTATTTTAATGTCTGCCTGCAATGCTGTGAACCTAAACACGGCATCGCTGGGCTAGTGCAGTAGTGTAGGCCCAAGGGGAAACATAACAAGGCCTTAGCCACGTTCCTTTCCCTGCTTAAACTACACCGGTTTTTGCCTCTCTGAATCTTACTTCTCTCCTCCATCTCCTCCTCTCACGGTAACAGAATGTGGGATGTAGTACAGTGCTTGCAGGGAATCTGCATGCTGTTTCTGAATGCTCAGTGTCAGCTGTGATGCAGTTTGTGTCATCAGTAATGTTCAATTTTTTCCTTTGAAAGGCCTCAGTCTTTCTGATTAAGAATCATTTCTGCAGTCTAGCTGCTGCCTACAGGCAATACCCGTGCAAGCAAACAAAACAACACTTGGTGATGCGTTGCAGAAATGGTACAACCCTCGGTGCACAAACAGCACTTCCAGGTGCCATAAAACAGTGAGCACCCCTATGCTATACTTGAACTACAAAGAGCCTACCCAGGACCCATAGGCTTAGGATGCTGAAATATTTAAAGGGATGCACAAAAGAATTACAAGAATGATTTGAGGTCTGAAAACAGGCCTTATGGTGAGCGCCTTAAGATGCTCACTTTAGTTTATCCAAGGGAAGGCTAAATAGTGACTTGATCACAGTCTACACGTAGCCTACTTGGGGAAGAGTCTGCTACTCGGCGACGGCTATTTAGCAGAAAAAGGCCTAGCAACATTCAAGGGCTGGAAGCTGATGCTAGACAAATTCAGACTAAAAATATCCCCCCGTGTTTTAAAGGGCAGGGGGATTAACCATCAGAACAACTCACCTAGGGCTGTGGGGGATCCTTAAACACTTGCCATCTTTACGTCGAGACTGGATACTTTTCTAACACATCTGCTCTAGCTCAACCACAAGTTATGGGCTTGATGCAGAAATGACTGGGTGATGTTCTCTGGCCTGCGATGCAGGTCAGATTAGATCAGTGGTTTTCAACCTTCTTACATTTGTGGACCCATAAAAAATTTCGACTGGAGACGTGAACCCCTTTGGAAATCTTAGACCTAGTCTGTGGACCCCCAGGGTTCCACAGACCACAGGTTGAAAACCACAGGACAGAATGATCAGAATGGTCCCTTCTGCCCTGAAAAATCTAGGAAGAGACCTGGGAAGTAAAACCTGCCAGTCTTGTTTTATTGCCCAAAGTGAGTGAACTGCAAAATATAAACTACCCCAATGCTGCTAAAAGGGACTTTAGGAAAATCTCTGCTGGTTTGATCATCTCAGCTCTTATCAGAAGCGCAGGTGAGGGATTTCCTTTGAAACATGATTTTATTTACATTGTTTCTTTAATACGAAGCACTGCTAGAGACAGAGTTCTAACCCCGAAGAGAGTATCTGCCATATTGGAGAAGTTCCGGTCAGCGAGGGGAGAAATTTCAGTTCAAGTTTTCAGGCCATCATTTATAATCAGTGAAGAAGGGGATGTGCGTGTACGGTGGGGGGAGATAGGGGAGGGAAGCAGTTGCATTCTCTGGCTTGGGGCAGCACTGGCAGGGGCATTCTGCCAGGGACCCCAGGCAGCAGCCCAGCGTTTTGATAATAGGGATGGGAGCGTCCTGACAATCTCCTTCTTTAGCCACAAAAGAGCCTGAGATGCACGTGTCCCTTTGGCCCCACGTGTGTGCAGGGGAGTGCAGGCCCGGCGTGTGCTATACCTAACTCGCCCTCAAATGGCTTTGTCAACTCTGCCCTCGGGGAGCCGGGTCTCAGTCCTGGAGCAGCTCTCATCTTCCTCCGCAGCGATTCAGTCTGAGGCGATGGGACGTTCCTAGACAGCATTGCATTTACACCAGCCGTTTCTCGCTTCCCCCGGCCGCTATCCCAGTGCCTCGGTCAGCGAGGGGGGTTGCGGCTCAGGTGCCTCTCGGGGCCCGGCTTGAAACGCTGCTGTCTCCCGTCGCTGCAGCTCACCCAGCAGGTCCAGCACGTTGTCGGTGAATTCGGTCCGTTGCCTCCCCATCCCGCCTAGCTTCACCGGCTGGAGGCTGGGGTGGGGGGGCTCATACGGGAGAGGGCAGCAGATCTCGTTCAGCAGGAGCCAGGTGGCGTCAGGGTCCACACACATCAAATGGAGGAAAACGCTTCGGGGGGACGTGGGAAGAAAGGAAAGCAGAGTCAGAGGAGGGCTGTCTGATCTTCCCCCACCAGGGCAGGTGACAGGCTCAGCAATAACCGGGGCCGTCAGATGGCTGCTAAGCCCGACAGAAACAGAGTTCAACAGTTTCACGGTTATGGGCAAGTGGCGGGAAACCTAGTCGCTATTCCCAGCAAAACGATATTAACGAACAAGCGGTCGGTGACTAATCGGTCTCGGGGCCAGAGAGCTCCCAGCATGACAAGGGGAGGTGCTAACTCAGCTGCTGTGAATTGAAGTCAATGGAGCGATGAGAATTTACACCAGCTGAGCACCTGGCCCAGTGGGCAGACCAATCCCAGCCTGGTGTGAGCAGGCCCCAGTGGAGGGAGGTTGCTGAGCTGATACAAGTGGCACATGGGAACACAGAGGACACGTGGATTAAGCCAAACAGCACTTTGAGTTTCCAAGAGGAAATGTGCTAATTTCTTGCTGCTGCTGGAGAGAGACGTTAGAAATAAGCCCACCCAGATGGGGCACAAACGCTGCTGAGTTGACTCTAGAATCCTGGACATGGCTTATGTCTTTGGTACGTCCTGGACCTGGTCTCTACCAACAACTAAACATCAGTTTAAAGAGCGCATGTGAGATAAGGTGCAAAGGTACTACCTGGTCCCCGGAGAGCAAGGGGTTAACCCCAGCTCAGCTGCCCCCTCCCCTGGCACAGGTGCTTAGGAGCAAGGTGACAAGATGGCTGCTTGGGAAGGGAGAGCTGCAAGGCCTGCCCGAGGCCAGGTCTGACGGCTAGGCTGGGCAGTGGTTCCAGGAGCTGAACACTGGTTGCTACGACCATTCTTCCCCAAGGCAGAGACCTTGCTGGCTGCCTCTGAATTTTTCCAGCTACCTCCCACATTTCATGGGGCAGAAAACGGTAACGAATTTCATGTTACAGAAAAGTGGCAATTTTTTGTATGGCTCTTGCTGCTGTGTGCCTGGCGTCCATCTTGAATTTGAATATGAAAGGGGAGGCGGGCGGGGGAGTTAAGTTTGGTGTGGGAACCTTGCATGAGAATTTCTTGTGGGTTCAATGTCAGAGCCTCTGACATGGGAAGGAGACGCTGAGCGTGACCTTGGGGGAGAGCAGGAGCTGCTGGGGCGTGAAGAGGCTAAGGGTTCATTTGCATGAGTCCTTGTATTTATTTATTTCTTCTGTTAATTCTCCTGCTGTCAATCACCTTGGGTTTGACTTGGTTTGTCAGGATTTTGACGCATGGCAGGCAGATTGGGTTTAATTGGCACTAATCTCCATACCTGGGCCACAGGTTAGGCTAAAGGAAACGGGAATTGACATGCCATGTTGGCAGCACTGTCTAAGGCCCTCCTCCTGCGAGGGGCTAAGCATGATCTATTCCTCGGAGAGTCCATGGCAGTTGAGGGTGCCCAGCCTCTGGCAGGATTCAGACCAAGGTTTTAGTGCCTAAAGAGGCAGAGAGACACCTAATGGGGATTTTCCAAAGAGCCTCTGTGCCCAATTCCCATTGAAACCAAAGGGAGTGAGACACTTCTGAAAATCACACTAGGTGACTACATGCTTCTTTAGGCCCCTCCAATACCTAAAAACCTGGCCTCAGCCCTTATGCCCTGATCGTGTAATGAGAGCTGCAGACATGGACCCCTCCTCCCGTGAGGATCTGACTGCAGGATCAGGGCCTTTGATCATAAGCTCTTTAGGGACTCTGATCTTTGCTTTCTGTGAAACACCCTGTGCACACACTAGAGCAGAGGTGGGTAAACTACGGCCCGCAGGCCACATCCGGCCCGTGGGACCGTCCTGCCCAGCCCTTGATCTCCCGACCGGGGAGGCTAGCCCCTGGCCCCTCCCCCGCAGCCACACGGGCAGCGCTCTGGGTGGCACGGCAGTGTGTCTGGCTCCGGCCAGGGCGGCGCGGCTGCCAGACATGCTGCTCTGAGTGGCATGGTAAGAGGGCTGGGGGGTTGGATAAGGGGTGGGGGATCCCAGGGGGCAGTCAGGGGACAGGGAGCGGGGGGGGGGGGGGGGGGAGGGGGGGGAGGTTCTGGAGGGAGGGGTTGGATAAGTGTGGGAGTCCCGGGGGGCCTGTCAGGGGATGGGGGTGTGGATAGGAGTCAGGGGATGGGAAAATGGGGGGGTTGGATAGGCGTGGGAGTCCCGGGGGACCTTTCAGGGGCAGGGGTCTGGATAGGGGTCGGGGCAGTCAGGGGACTGGGAGCAGGGAGGTTGGATAGGGGGTGGGGTCCCAGGGGGGTGGTTAGGGGCAGGGGGGGTCCCGCGAGGGGGTGGTCAGGTGACAAGGAGCAGGGGGGATTGGATGGGTCGGGGGCTCTGAGGGGGGCAGTCAGTGGGCGGGAAGTGGGAGGGGGCGGATAGGGGATAGGGAACAGGCTGTTTGGGGAGGCACAGCCTTCCCTACCTGATCCTCCATACAGTTTTGCAACCCCAATGTGGCCCTCGGGCCAAAAAGTTTGCCCATCCCTGCACTAGATAAATATTAAATAAAAAATAAACACAGCTTAAAACCTTCCTAGCCTGAGCTGGATTTAACATAGTTGTTTTGCAGGGGGAGCATCGTGTATTTACGATATAGCCAAGGAAAAGACTGGCATGCCCAAATTCATCATTTCCACCTCGCTGTGGGAAGGTGCAAAGAAGCTGGGTTGTGTGGGAGGAGAGCACTATCTGTGATAATTGGAATGGAGAATGAAATTGTGAGAAAGCACAGAGAGAGGTAAGTAGGTTTCTGTTTCATTGTGAAGCAGTAGACACTGTTCCTCTCATCTGAAATGCAAACCAAAGATCCTCTGCTAAGTGATTCACACAAACACGAGCCCCACGTCTATCAGAAATGTCCCCTGCCTGGGCTTTTATGCCTGAAGTCAGCGCACTTCCTATGCAATTAATTTAGACAGAAGTGCTTGGGAAAAGCTCCATTTTCTGACACCTCCTGTGCTCTGAAGGGGTAGGGGTTTCCTGGGTACTTAGAACAAGTGTAGGAATAAGCTGGAGATGCTAGGAAGACTTCAAAGTAATCCTCCTGTTGCTGGGTAACCCCCCGTTACCCTACAAACAACCAAAGAATCAATCTGCATCATTAACTTATAACCCATCTAGGGCTCCAAAAGACATAACGTCTGTATTACCTACACTGCACACCCCTCACCGCTCCCAGCGTGGTACTTCTAGAATGCAACATGACCTTGACTTCCAAACCGTGGATGGTCTGGGACCGACTGCGTCGGCACCAGTGCATGGTGCTCTGGGAAAACACATTGGGGACAGCCAGATCCTGGCCACCTGGTGCTGATCTCAGTCACCCCAGCTTTAGTTTAAGCCAGTGGGGTTGCACCAAACTAAATTGCTCCTGATTTACACTAGGGCAAGGGCAGAATCTGGCACTAGCTTTCTGGACGAATCACACAGCCAGAAGTTAGATTGTAAGGATGCAGCAGGTTTGCTAGGGCAGACACTTGAGCAGTTTCTGCTCTCTGATGGGATTCAGTGCTCTCTCTCCTCTCTACGCGCTGTCTTAGCCAGGCCCATCAGTGACTAGAGTCCACAAATCCCTGGAGTGCGCTGCGGGGTCCATTGGGCCTCACCCTTAGCTTAACGATGGGCTGAAGCTGTATCTAAACAGCCCCGTTATACATGGCCTGTGCTGACAGGACGGATCAGTAATACAGCAGGTAACAGGGACTAGCACAGAAGCCGCTGTCTGGAATATTACCCAGCCAGTGTCAGCTTTTCCGCCCCGCGCGCACACACGTCTTACCTCTTATGTTCACAACAAAGACGTCCCACTCTCCTCCCCACTTCCCAATCAGCAGCTCCAGAGAGAGCAACTCTCAAGACGGTTATCTGGTTCCCAGAGGACTGGAGGCACTCAGCTCCCTGTGTGCCCATAATGGCCCAAGGCCAGTGATTATCTCCTGATAACCTGGAGTGCTGTGCAGCTTAAATAACAACTTGACTTTTACATTTTAAAACTTACTCTTAGGTTGCTTAGAAACGGCCTCTGTTTCCATGGCAAAGAATCCTGGGGTTAATCCAGGGGGTTGGATTTTTTGTAAACTTAAATGTGATTTTATTGAATTGTGCTTGGCGCAGGTGGCTGTTTTAGTGCACTTCAGCCCAGCCTGCGACTGACAGCTGTCAATACGTGTCCAATAAACTACAGCCCTCAAACCCAGGCGAGGGAGGGGCTTTACTGCTCAGTAATCAACTTGGGGAGCTAAAAGGTCCAAAAATAGCTTCTGCTTGTTCCAGTGGCACTGAACAATTTATCATGTTGGTGCAGAGCAGAGCTGGGCTATTCCGCTGGCTTGCCTTTCCCTATGTGATGAGCTTAGCCCTGCCAAGCACCAGGGCCAAGGTGATCAAGGCTGGCAAAGCGGAGGACGACTGTGGCTCCTTGCTTGCCTCTGTTGAATGTCCAATTAAAAAGAGCCCTGCCCTGCCCTGCCACCAGGGCCCTACCGGAGAAGGAACAGGGGAAGGCGACCTGCCGCTTTACCCACAGTGGTAGCAGGCCAAGGTGGATCCAGAGCCATGCAGCTTCCCCCACCCTTCCGCATGGCTATTACAGGGACAATAACCCCAGCCTGGGCATAGTCACCAGCTGACAGCCACCTTGTCACACTGTTGGCTGCCCCCTATCCCCCCCCTCAGCCGTGCTGCGACTCACTTTTTGCCAGATGCCATTTCTGCCTGCTAGGCACTGTGCGAAAACGCAGTCCCCAAACTCACTTTATCCCACTAGTTCAACTACCGGCTCCCACCACAGGATCAAACAGCCTCCCTATGGCAGGGTGATGTTCCAGATGGATCGTCCTGCACTTGCTTTGTGCAGCTGCTGCAGCTTGGCCACGGCTCCACCTAACCCTTCCCTCTCCCACCCCACCGACGCCTGCGCTCTTCTCTTGGGTGGGTGTTCGCACTCCCAGCTGGCATGCAGCATGTCAGAGGCGTTGCACCTGATTGCCCCATGACTCCTGCAGTCCCTTGTAACCCTGTGATACTATAAATCTGACCCTCGGTCTTGGCAGGTCATAAATCACTAGGGAATAAGGGAAAATACTTTCCCCGTTACTTTATAGATATAGATATATAGATATATCCATTTTTTAATTTTAAAAGAGCTCTAGTGCTGAAACGTCTGGTGACAGGAAGCTGAAGTCTAGCTGAGCCTTTTTAGCGAGGGAACAGTGCCTCCCATTGTTCTGGGGGAAACTGGTTTTGAGTTACCCAGGTTATGTCCCTTTGAAAACAGTGCATCATGCATGCCTAATGGTTTCTAATGCTAGTGATACAGTTAACTGTGAACCCCGCGTCCCAAGGCAAGGGAGGCAGTGCTACACAGGACTGAACTACATTGTCTTATAAAAAGCCTGCCAAGGTTTGTGCATTGAACGAGACCCATGAAACCTTCAAGGGCTGAGATGTGCACAGATCAAATCTTCACATGCCCGGGCATGACACTAACCTCCAGCTGGCCACCAGAGCTAGGTGTGCGCTCAGGGAGCTGGCCTTCTGCTGCAGGCCTTGCCTTGTTCAATAAAAGCGTAGGGAATGACTGGAGCTCCCGGGGGAGGGGGGGCAGTCCAGATAGTGCCCGCTCCTGAGTACCTTTATCTTCAAAAGAAAACTAAAATGGCAGTATGAGGGGAACACAAAGGCTACGTGGCCAACCGTCAAGTCAGGCTACGTGTGCCCTTAATTCCGCTCTCCTCTGTGCATGCCATACAGCAGGCTCTAAGGACCTGATCACAACTTAGGTCCCTAATTCAACATATCCCTGTTTTATTCCACAGCGCTTTAAGGTGCTCCGGGAACGATTAAAGCGCCAAACGTACTGCTGAAACCTGGAGTTAAGCTTTCTGCCCCAGCACAGCTTACAGAGAGGAAAGGGGCTCCCGCTAACTCGGGGGATTTGGCCCACAGATGACAAATCCATTGGAGACAGGGACTGGAGCCTGCTGAAAAGGACAACAGCCACCAAGGTAAAAATAACCCCCCATCCCCCAGCCCACCAGTACAGATTAAGAGGGGAAGGCTGCAGTTTCTGAGAGAGCTTAAATCTGCACAGCTTCCCTCTCTGGCAGAGATGCTGGCCAACTGCACAAAAGCTTTTCATGCTGTGCCCTGTGCTCAGGGGAAAGGTGCCTGCTAGTTTTTTCCCTTTTAAGAATATTCTGCCCTATAAACTCACAATGCCGGCTGCTTTCTGCCTGTTGGGTGAGACCCAGGCTCACACTGGGGAGGGAGGGAGGGGCTAGTTCCACAGGGAGAGGGAAGCCTCTGCCCCTTTCCTCTGGCAGAAAAATGAGCCCCTGTTCTTATTCACCCTGTGTATTCTGCAGCTGGGCAGATCTCATTGCCTGAGATCTTTTGTCTGCTCTCCAGGTGGCACAATAGAGCAGCAGTGATTTTTCACTGCAGCAACAAGCTTGCGACTCGCCGGAGGGCAGGATCTGGTCTATCCTGAAGTATAACTTCTGTGAACACTTTGTAGATGTTAGTATATGTGCACCAGAGCCACTAGGCAGCTCACAGGGGTGGCGGAGGGGGGGGTTGCCAGGAGCCCCTGAAGATGGGGAGGGAGCTTGTGGGGGAATGGAGGGATGCAAGGAGCCCCTGGCGTGTGCAGATTGGCCGACAAAAGCAAGGAAAAGTGCAGCCCTCCAGTAAGAGAAGTCAGGTAAACAAGCAGCAACTCCACAAAGTACATTCTAATGTATAAATCCAGACCCCCAGCCTGCTAAGAGCCCTGTGCAGAGCTGGGGTAAAGCAAATGAGGCACATTCTCCTCCCTGCAAGTGGAGAGAAACTTAGAAAATAAACTCCACACTGCAGATGGGCTGGTTCTTCCGCTTCCACCTTTGGGTGGTGACTCATATTTCACCAGTGGTAGAAGGTACCTCTCATGGACTCCCTCCTCTGCAGGCTTCAGTGTGAATACGCTGGGCAGGGGGAGAAGAGAAGGGGACACCTAACTCCCTCCCCTCATTCAGAATACACCCTGTGTGTGTGTAGCGTTACCTCCGGGCGGCCTCTTGCAGTTTCACGGGTTGTTTGGCACTGAGGTAAATCAGACAGGCATCTGCTACTTTATTCAGGTCACTCTCGCCTGCAGAAATGGGACAGAAAGGAACAGCAGGAGATAACTGACACTGGTTAATGGGATTCGAGGCTTCTGCACCTCTCGCAGTCTAAGCCAGAGCTCTTCCTACCCATCCCCTAGAGAGGCCTGCTCTATAGCGAGGAAAACGTCAAGACAGGAAAGGAGCTCTCAGCCCTGCAAACTCGCCTCTCCTCCCCCACAAGGCCGGGGACGCCCAGTGTACTGCCGCCTGCTGCAGAAATCTGCCAGAATAGACGGGTTATCCGTGGAGTCGTCCCAAAAGAGACCGGCTCGTCGAGTTTGGGAAGGATGTCTGGATTCCAGGTCTTCATTTTGGTTAGTTCAGAGAGCAGCATGGCTTGGCCCCAGACCTGGCTGCCAGGGCTCTGGGGTTCTAATCCCCTTGTGACACCTTCTTGCCAGGTCAGAGACAGACAGGCTGACAAGGGGGGAGAAGGGCCAGCAGTCAGATCCCGAACCAGGTCCTAGGAGCCCTCCTCACCCCTTTGTCTCCCAGGGAGTCGAGGGCACCAGCCCCTCCATGTTGGGCTCTGATGGGGAGAGGTGAATGCCGAGACATGGCTGGAATAGGCGGAGCTGGAGTAAGGCTGGAGAATGGGCAGAAAATTAATCCCACGTGACAGGGACAGAGCATGGGCTTTCCTAGCCGCTGTGAAGAGTGACGGATGAGGCCTGCTGAGAGAGGGACAAAGATCAGAGACAGGAGGGCAAGGCTGGGCAGAGATCTGACAGCTGACCTCGTCCTTCCCTGGTACTCACCCAAGTCCAGTTTCTCACACAGTGAACCCAGCCCCTGCAGCACGGCCAGCTGTAACTTGAAGGCAAGAGTATGGCTGTATACGGGTCCGGCTCTGGCACTGACCGGAGCCTGGGTGACAAGGGAACCGGCCAGCTTGGGCAGGACGTCTTTGGAGAATCGTTGCCTCAGGAAATCGCCACACTTCTCGGCCAGGGTACATAGCACCTAGCAAAGAAACCCCACTGAGTCCGTGGTTACTGGGAGGGGAGCTCAGCGGTGCGCAGGGGCAGAGTGGGAACGCACAACTCAGCAACACCCTCAGCGAGCAGGGGAAAGGGGAGTTCATCCCTGGATCGCGGCCTGTCGTTATTACAGCAACCTGCTGGCTGTATTCCCAGCGCAGAACCGAGCGGGGAGAAAGGAGGGATTTGTGCTTCAAACGTGGGGCTGGGAGAGCCGGGTCCCACCCCTGGAGTCCCTGTTACTTTGGGCAAGTCACGTAACCTTCTCCATCCCTCAGTTTCCTCATCTGCAGTTAGGTGATCGCTGCCTTAGCACACAAGTGGGTCGTGAGGCTTAATTCAAAACTGCCAGGACCTCGGAGATCAGATAAAAGACGCCAAACTGCCATCATCACAAAAACAGTCCGCACTGCCAGCAAGCAAAGGAGAGCCAAGGCCAACTGCACACAGGCAGTGAACGGACGAGTTTGTGAGTTACGAACAGGAAGATGACGTAACTTATGCTAACTCATCCCTAGAGAGTGGGGTGGAAAACGTATCTGTGCTGGGGTCCTCAGCCTGGGCTCAGCTTGTAGAACTGGGGTCCTGCATTGGGCATGGTCCAGTTATGCCTCACTGCAGCATTTTCTATCTTCTATAATTTAAAAGGACACTTTCAAAGGATTTTTCATATATTTTTTAAAAAACCCTCCCTGCTGCTTATAAGCATCCCTTGAATAGCTGAAAAGGAAATCTGTTCTGTCCAGCGATTTGTCTCTTCCTTTACCCAGGCACACCCGGGGAGTTTATCATAGGGCAGCTCTGAAATTCTAGGGTGCTGGCTGTTGGTATTGTGGAGGCTTTGTCACTGCAAAGGCTTCATACTCCTCCTCAGCCTGGATGGAAAAGAAGGTAAGTCAGCCTGGGGAGCTGGTGACCTTGCGGGTATCCTCATAAATGGATGTTTTATTGCCTGGCTTCCTGGGAGCAGGGTGCTGCTGGAACGCGGCAGAGTGCACTGCCGGACTGATGCGGGTGGGAACAGTTTTTAACCTTTTTATTAACCTGAGCATTTGCGTTAAGAGCAACTGCAAAACCACCTCCCAAATGCCTCAGCCACAAGGAAACCCCTCCCCTCCAGGAGTAGGGCCTCTTGTCTCCGGAGGTGATCCCCCAGGGGTGCCAGAACCCACAGCTCGCACGAGAGTATACCGTGCCTCTGACAGTCAGCCCCTTAGGCTGTAAAAGGATGGGTCTTCCTTTCCATTCCTGCCCAGCCCAACACACTGTACCCAATAAATAATCATTCATAATGCTCTTCCCCATTAGGAGGGCATCAGTATCTCATTCATGGGCAAAGGGCACGAAGAGTGTACCTGCAGATACAAACCTACACTGTGCAGGGAAGCACCTTTGCTCTGCACCGTGTGTTTAAAATTCATTCTGTACAGTGAGCATTCTGCACGTGGCAGGGTGCCAGCTCTGTGGCTTGCTCTCTCTGCTCTGGCTTGAAGGCCATTGGCCAGGATTCATCGTCGTACCTTGAAAGCTCTGAGCACTGCCAGCGGGTCGTCGTTAATCAGCCGGGTGACGAGAGCCGGCCAGGCGCGATGAGCCAAGGGAAGCAGATGGTTTTCATGAAGATGCAGCACAATCACGCAGAACTCCAGCACGTCCAGGACCTGCACAAGGAGAAGGCACAGCTCTGACAGGCTGCTACAGTCCCCCCTGCCTCTCTGGAGAGCAGAGGATGGAAGAGTCTAAAGCAATGGGATCCACCTCTGCCTCTCCCTGAACGGGAGGTGGGGAGCTGGGGAGGAAAGCCACGGGGGCAGGAATGGGTGGGCTCTACCTGTCACGGGACAAGCTATCAAGCTCTGATGCCTGACACTAAGCGGTTTGAGAGGCTGAATTCAGTCTCCTTGGCGCAAGGCAGCCTCCTCTTTCCCTCTCTTTTTATCTAGGCTAAGGCTTGCCAGCACTTGGAGCCTCTGCCCTGGCAGCGGTGAGATGTCAAGGTGGGACTGGCCTCCTCCTAGCGGCACGTCTGGTACATCCTGTGATTCCCCCCCACTCCCCCCCCAGCCCCAGGGAAACAGTCCCCAAAATGGGAACCCTGAGCCTCTGCAAGGCTGGGCCCTTTGGTGCTCCCTGTCGGTATGGTGTAGTGCATGCACTGTGCTAACCTTCAGCCGCACCCGCAGACTCTTGTCAGACAGTAAGTGGATACATCTCTCCATCACATCCTTTGCTATCTGGGCATGGGCTGGCAATGGAGTCTCTCCCTCCGCACTGGAGTCGTTCATCTCAGGCTCAGGAGGGGGGGCCTGCACCTCTGGAAGACAGGGCACAGTTCGCAGCGGTGGGAATGAGCGGGAAGCCATAGGCACGTGCCTCATGGCAACTGGCTGACCCCCCTGCAAGGCTCTTATCCAGCGTCCCAAAGGAGACCCGGGGCATTTGGGACTGCAAAGCCTGCGCTCTCTGGGGCTAAATGCCAGTTTGTGAAATTCAGCAGCAGGAGCAGTGTGTGTGTTATAGGAGAAAGGAAGATTTTGTTTCCTTTATTGGACTGACATTTGCAGTCTGCCCCCCCCGACCCCTTTATTTCCAATTGGTTTTGATTAAAAATGAAAGACCTGGGAGTTTAAAGGTCAGAATTGCAGCATGGCAGAGTAATGAGAAGGCAAATGTTCCCTCCTGGAAAGTTTCTAAAGGGCCTTGGCTGGAGTCAATG